TGGATCACTATTGGAATTGGCTCACTCCAACTTTCATCTTCAACCATGGAGACGACAACGAGAGTGGGTTCATTATGGGTATGCCTTGTTTAAGTTGTAGAGATGTTCAAGAGGCAAAGCAGGGACGGGAAGTCTTCCTCATCTCCATCCCTACTACCTATTTCACTATTCATCTGGCGAAATCTCTTTTTATTTTTGCTGGAATCACGGCAGAGATTTCCACCGACAATTTTTCTTTGTTTACTATTATTTTTTTTTAAAAAATTATTTAAAGTTTTCATTTTTCAATATAATCTTTATTTAAAAAATTGTAAAAAAATCCTAATAAATCAATATATTTCATAAGCGAGTATATATATATATAAAATATTTTATCAACATAATTTCTAAAAATCTTAATTTTTATGTTACAACATAGTTTTTAACGATTAAAAAATCTATATTATAGTTTTAGTTTAAATATTACGATTAGAATCTCAAAATTAAGTAATTTATTTTTTTAACATAGCCATTTAATATGGGTTGAAAATATATTTATATTAAGTGGGGTAGGGTGGAAAATTGGGTGGGGACGGGTATGAGGAATATTAGCTCATCTCCGAACCCATTTATTTAACGAAAAAAAATGTTCTCCATTCTCTTCTCACATCCCCTCTCCATTTGGAGATGGGTCTCCACTGATGAAGTGTGTCTCTACTCAGTTGTAATGCTGACATTATCTTTATACCTTTTGGTTATGGAGTATTAGTTTGAATAAGGGTGGGGTTGAATCATGCAACTCCTAAGCATTTTACTAGACGTATGAGAATGACTTTGTGTTAGAGTAGGAAATCTATCCTTAACACGATATCAAAGTCATCTTTCTTGACAATCACAAAGTGAATTTGACAACTCAAGTTTCTCGCTTGATCGAATTGTTGGCATTTTGGCCATTGATCTCAAATTAATTAATGTTTTGACGATAACAAACATGTTTTTAATTACTAATAATTTTAGTGTATTAAAATGTCCACAGTATAAAGTTTGGAATAGCGATTCCAACACTCACAACTATATGTAACAATATAGTTGTGAGTACTCAAATTATAAATTTACTATTTCAGACAATTGTGGTGTATTCTTCAAAATCCCAACATTTATAACTGTTTGATCATGAATCGTGAAAATGATGAAGTTTGCTCTTAAACTCGTAAAAAGAGCGGTATTATTGTTTTGCTTTTATTCGAGGAAAGAGACAAGAAATTTTTATTTAAATTTTCATGAATCATGAAGTAGGTCGTATTTGACAGAACCACTATAAAACTACCATGCTACTTTTTCCAACTTTATTCTATTTAATTTTTGAAATTATTATTGTGATGGATAGGTTTTTCGTAATTGTTTATTGTTTTGAGTTATTATTTTTTATATATTGGTGAATAATAGGTTCTAAAAAAAATACCATAATTAATTAATTTTTTTTAAACCCTATTCACCCGTGTAGGGTTGTCATACAAATTTAGTTAATCTAGTTCTTTTAGATAACACATAAATACTTTAGGGCTTCCATGTGGGAGTTTTCGAAGCTTTTGACTAGCCGTGTTTCAATTTTTGTTGAATTTGTTCCAAATTTGGTTTAGAAGGTTTGGAAGGCTACCTTTATGGCATTCAAACTCTCGATCGGCTCCCTAATTGTAATTTTTTTTGTTGGGTGGTTTCTTCTTTGGATTTTTACCTCTATGTTTGTTCTAGAAGATTCATAGTCTCTTACTCGAGTTTCAAGTCGGTCACCTCTCACACTTTTTGTTGAGTAAATCAGTAATTTCTATTTCTTTCAATTGAAGAAGTCTGTCTTCACCTTACATCGTTGGATTCATCATTGTTAATATCAAACAATTGTACGTTTGACTATAGTGTAAGCCATAGAAAGATCTTCGTTTAGACTTTTTCCACGACTTCAACCCCTTGACAAAACAAAAGACCTTGTCTTTTTCTAACATTATCACGAATATCTAACATGAGCCCGGAGATATTTGACATAGTCTTGAATATTTTCAACATGTTTAAATTCTCTTCGTTTTTGTCTCGAGAATATCTCAACATTCAGAAGAATTGTGAACGATGTTCTTGCTTAAAATCTTCCAAGTGCCTAAGATATATCGATCCTTTGTACTTGGATCTCTAACGTAATTTTGCATCATCAACTACATGCTTTGTTGTGATTAGTTAATAATTATCTATAATTAAATAATTTTAATAAGATTATATAAATTTTTAATTATAAGTAATTAGTATAGTAATTGAATAAAATAATTAATTATACATATTACATTTCAAAAATCAAATACCATATATAATAGAATAAATTGTTTTAATGAGGTATACTTATAAATTTTTATATAATTATGATAAATTACTAATAAAATAATAAGAAAATAATTTATATAATATGTATAAATAATTATTATGAAAGAATATTTAAATATTTTAAATAATTTTAATTCGTTATTATTATTTACCATTTTTATTTTAATTGCTTTTAAAATTATAATGAATAAGCTAATCAAAATTAGTCTCAATAAATAATTAATTGATTGTAAATAATATTATTAGTGAAAATAAACTTTTTACTAACACGTTAATTAATCCTAATTGACTAATTAACACGTCATAATTATTTTTATTATTATTATTATTTTTAAAGATCATAGAACCAAACTTACAACGAAGAAATAATTTAGCAAAAGGTAACCATAAATTAATAAAGAAACTAATTATAAGATGGGTTGAAGTTAAAATTTAAAGAAGTCCGGTCGTAATCAGTCTTAGGAAAGTCTGTTGGTAAATTGAAAAAACGGTGATGATCTCTCGTGCTTACCTCTCCCTGAAGCCTTTGTTTGTTTGAAGCTTTGTTTCGCACTTTGATTTCCCAAAGGAATTTTGAGCTGCTTACACAGATTCAGCGGTGGAAATGGCTGTTGCGGCTCCAGCAATTTGACTTCTAATCACGCTTCTACTGTAAGTTTTGATCCATCTTCCAATTTGAAGTGCAAGATTGTTCATGTTGTTCATATGAATTGCCTGAAGGAAAGGGATTTGGAACTAGTAAGTTTATATCTCACACGTCGCAAGGTATGCCGAACTAGTGTTCGACGAAATGCCCAACTGATCTGGATTCTTGAAACATCGGAAACTAACCAACTTTAAACCTTAACTTGTGGTGCAATCAGTACCCAATACGTTAACATTCCAATTTTTTTACTATTTGTGGCTCTGGCCATGAATATTGTTGGCGTTGGTGGAATTTGTGACTTGGTTTTGAGTGTTTTGTATGATCTATTAGGTGGGTCGTGATCGATTTTCTAACAAAATATTTGAAGTTGCTGGAATTCATATGTTTCTGATGAATGGTGGAAGATGGTGAGTTGGTTGTTTAGCAGGGTTAAGTTCTGTGGTTTCCCGTGTCAAAACCAGAGAGGATCGAATTTAAATCACCTGCAAAGTCGTTATCTGGTAAACATAAAACTGAAATGGGTGAAAGATAAAGACTTAGATTCTGTAGTGAGTGCTGAGAAGGACCTCAAGGCTGTTTGCTTTCTTGTATCCATAATCTCTTCAAGTCTTGAACAATGCGTACCGATCTACCGTCTGCGTTGCCATCGTCGGCAGCTTGGTCTTCCGAATGATGTCAAGATGTCTACCTTTATTAGGAGATACCCTTCTATCTTTCATGAGTCACATATTCGTGACAGTGCAGGCACTCCTGTGCCATCTTTTGGCTTAACTCCAGAGGCTAGGGAGCTTCATGAGGAAGAAATCGTTGTCGTTCGACAATGTTGGACGGATATTCGATCTAGGCTTTGCAGATTGCTAATGCTCACGAGTGGTACGACACTTCCTTTACAGACAATTGACCAGTTGAGATGGGACATGGGGCTGCCATATGATTATCAGAACTCTTTCATTCCATATAACCATGACTTGTTTTCATTTGTCCAGCTCCGTGATGATCGAGTCGGGTTGAAACTTCTATCCTGGGAAAATGATCTTGCTGTTTCTGAACTGCAGAAGAACGCTGGTTCCCAACAGGTGGAAGAAGACGTAAGAAATGGCTGTTTGGCCTTTCCAATTGGATTCACAAGAGGTTTTGGATTGAGGAGAAAATGTATGGATTGGTTAAAAGAATGGCAGAAGCTTCCTTACACTTCTCCATATTGTGATGCCTCCCATTTGGATCCCCGTACCGATGTGTCCGAAAAGAGGATTGTCGGAGTCTTTCATGAACTTCTCCACCTTACCTTGCAAAAGAAAACCGAACGCAAGAACGTAAGCAACCTCCGCAAACCGTTCTCTATGCCTCAGAAGTTCACAAAAGTGTTCGAGCGTCATCCTGGTATCTTTTACATCTCTAAGAAGGACGACACACAGACTGTAATCCTTCGAGAAGCTTACGACGGTGACAAGCTTCTGCAGAAGCACCCTCTTGTTAGCATCAGGGAAAAATTTGCAAACATGTTGAGGAAAGGTCAACTAGATAGAAGCAGAGGTTTATACAAAAAAGAAGATCCATTTGGACATTTTCGTTGTGATGAAGTAGATGAAACTCGATACAGTTCCGAAGAAATGTCCGACTATAACTTGCTTTCGGAATATGATTTGGAATCAGATGACCCGATCGACAACAACTGCTTCAGAAGTTGCTATGATTCTACACCAACTTCTTCAGCAGTTGATCAAACTCTTTAAAGTCTTGCAGTAACTTGCAACTTGCCCATCAACAAGGTTTGTGTTTATCTTAGAGTACTCTTCTATCTAATTTGTTCTTATTCAATTGGTTTCTATAGTTGTAAAAGATGATTTAGTCATTAATTTTGATTAAATCTTAGAGAGATGAGTCATTTAGTTTGTTTCAATCAGTCGTTTTAATTTCTCTGAATCTGATACTCCAAGCAAATAAGTCGAATCGACACTGAAAAAGAGATGAAGTACCAGAAAAATGTATAATTCCTTCTATGGTGGCATGAACAAAAGAGGTAGAGTATTGCACGTATACTACGACGTCGATAATAAAATTGAGGTACATCCTCATTTATGAATGTTAAAGTTGTATACAAATTGTCATAAAGAATATGAACATTATCTATCAACTAGTAGCTCACCTGTTAGAACTCTTGGTACGTCGTTAGAAATGTAAAAGCATGCAAAAATCTTAGCAGCTTTCACAGAAAAGAATGAAACGCAGCTTTTGCTCTTCACCAGATGTGCAACCTGAAGGATTCCCAATGACAACATCATTTCTCTAGTAAAACTGGTACTACACTCTAAATGTATATGAATCTTGAATTTGGTTTATTGATAGCCACCACCATATGATTGCTGGGGGGCGTAACCACCCATCATCGGATTATAATTACCCGAAGCATTGGATCCAGGCTGAAATCCTACTGGTGATTGAAGTTGCATTCCTTGCCCCATACCCATATTCATGCCCATGCCAGGGTTCATTCCCATTCCCATTCCGGGATTCATTCCCATCCCCATGCTCGGGTTCATGCCGGTATTGTTCGTCCCCATACCCATTCCCACGCTCGGGTTCATGCCAGAATTGTTCATTCCCATACCCATTCCCATGCTCGGGTTCATGCCAGCATTGTTCATCCCCATACCCATTCCCACACTCGGGCTCATGCCAGCATTGTTCATCCCCATACCCATTCCAACGCTCGGGTTCATGCCAGCATTGTTCATCCCCATACCCATTCCCATGCTTGGGTTCATGCCAGCATTGTTCATCCCCATACCCATTCCCATGGGTTGATTGGTTCCTCCATAGGGCCCCCCTCCCATGCCCGCATTGTTCATACCCATACCTGAACCCATCATGGAGTTTGGTGGAGTTCTGAGGGCAGCTGCACCAGCGTGACCGATTCCAGAACCCGATCCCATAGCTTTACCCATGGTGATAGTAGAAGTTACAGCGGTTGTGGTAGGCTTTTCCATCCTCTTTTCCTTCCGATTTATGGCATCAAAATCCACTCCAATGTCAGATAATGGATTTGTTTTAGCTGCACATTGAGGAACATATTTAGTCAACCATCAGAGACACAGATGCGATGCATATATGTAAGAATTCAAGGTAGCATGAACTCACGCCCAGATATGTTCAAATCAACTAGCCCTCTGTTAAGAGTGTCAGCCCAGACTGTTGACTTTGTCTCGAACTTGCCCTTAGGAGGTTGAGATGCTACTGAAAGCGATCCTGTTGACGTGGGAAAACCTTGTTGTGAAGGAACCTGAGGGGGTCCAGCTTGCGGAAGAATGCTGCCTAGAAAATCATCATTTTTTGGTTGTGAAGCTATCGGCGGGGATGTAAAACCATGATGCTGCATGTTTCCACTGCCAAGTGGAGCAGCTGGCACGCTTGGATTTTGCTGAGCAATTTGTGAAGTAACAGGAGCAGCAAATCCTGCATTCTGTACTAAATATCCACCCCCATTTGCCTGTGCATTTGGACTGCTGCTGGTTGAGGCCATCTGTGGATAGAAAGGAGCTGTAGATCCTCCCTGTGAGCCCCCTCCATAACCTAACTGTCCAGTAGGTGCTGCAGATCCTCCTTGTGAACCCCCTCCATAGCTAAACTGTCCAGTAAGTGCTGCAGATCCTTCCTGTGGGGGCCCAGAGCCAAACTGTCCAGTAGGTGCTGCAGATCCTCCCTGCGAGGGCCCATAGCCAAACTGTCCAGTAGGTGCTGTAGCTCCTCCCTGTGGGGATCCATATCCAAACTGTCCAGTCGATGCACTTTGAGGCTGGAAAGCTGTATTTGAGTTCAAAGATGCTGTAGCTCCTGATTGGGCATGCAAATTAAGGAAGGAACTAGCATTTGGTTCTGAAGGCTGATTGCTTAAAGCTGTAAAATTTTTCTCAGGAGGTTGACCAGGATCTGAGAAGGTAGTTGGCAATGCTGGCTGGTCGCCAGTGGATGAATAAGTTGGCAGGGATGTTGCATTAGATGGAGGTCCAGAAAGAGGTAGAATATCTGCCAGTATATCAATCTCAGGGTCCGAAATAGTGGATGGCCCTTGAAGGAACTGTGGGTCTGATGGTGCTTGCAAGCTGGATAAGCCAGATGCACTAGTTGAAGCAGAAAACGCATTACCAAATTCTGAATTAGAGACTTGGTTTGTTTCCGGGATAGCTCCTTGGGATTGTTCAAGGCCTTGGTGCAGAGAAGACTGGAAAGGATTAGTCAAAGTAGAAGAATTGGATTGTCCAAGGCTTGGGTGAAGAGAAGACTGGAGAGGATCTGTCGTAGCAGGTGAATGGAATTGAGGGGCACCATCATCAGAAGTCATAGCTTTAAAAGGAGTGTCACCAAAAGGATCTTCAAAACTCTGCAAGTACATAATTCAACAGTGCACAGAAAAATACATGAAAAATGTCAACTTAGTTGCAATAAATAACGGAAAACGTACAGAATGATGAATAGATGTCAATTTGATCGGAGCGGGCACTTCTAATATTCCAATGTGAATGAAGAACTTTTAAACCATCAAAATTTACCTGATTACTAGTCTGCGAGTTTCCTGCACCAGAGTTCATGTGGTAATCAGTCTCAAAGGCCCCAGTCACGTTTGCAGATGCCGCTGGCATAATGGCCAGTGGGTTTGAAGGAAAATCGGCCAGTGAGCCAAGTAAGTCCATCTCAGCATTGTTTGGTGGAGTAGTTGGAGCAGCTAAGAAAAGAGAGGAAGTATTTGTGGTTTAGTGCCAAGAATCAACAAAGTGATAACTAATAGTTTGATGCGAGTCACATGAGTGGATTATCCTAAACAGGTACATGTGCGGTTATCTTTGATAAGATTGTATGCAAAATGACCTTTACATAAACTATTTCTATCATGCTTAACATTTTTATCTCGTTATGTAAGGAACCTTTGCACACAATCGGGCTGGAATTCAAAGCCTCTCAACTCTCAATAGAATTATGCATTTAATTGATACTCAAAGACTTGCAAAGAAACAGGATACAGTCATAAATTGAGAGGAAATGTTTATTGCAGAACACAAATCATGTATAGCTTATACGTTAAAATGTGACAATGGAATGTAGGCTAACCATAACGATAAAATGAAATATACTAATTATTTATTTTATTTGATCACTTTTACTATTTCTTTCCTTACATGCATAGCATTGACACATGTCCATACATAGGGAAGCACTTAATTATATCTAGCATCCAAATACCTCTCATCATTTAAAATATACCCTCTGAATTAATACTTGATGATTACACATGCATAAAGAAACATGATGTATCTATGTCACAAGGCATCATTTGATCGAACCATATGACCCTCCGTGATGTATGTCCAATTCAACTTCACGTCAGTTATATTCATGAAGCAACCTTATGAAAACCAAACTACACAAAATACTGAAGAGGGGAGGGGGAGATTCTTCTCTATCCAAATGAAATCTAAATCTAGCAGTTTTAACTTTAGAGCTGTTAATCTTCCTCCTTAGATGTCGCAATAGCAATAAGACTCATACAAGGATGATTACCAAGTATAGGTAGCTAGGTTTAAATGGAGTCAGCCTGAGGTTAATAGCAAAAAGCTAATAGAATTTTTTGTACCTGTGACCGAACTTTGAGGGTCAAATTCATCAAAGGTCCCAATTAACTGGTCTGTAGGTGTTGGAGCACCATGTACCGGACTGGACTGGCTAGGTGCTCTAGTAACAGGTGCTGATGATGTAACAGGAGATGAGGTTGAGGATTCTTGGTCCCTTTCCAATAAGTAAGATATCCAGTCAACTAAATGGTTATTAAAACTGCTAGAACTAGAAAGAGACTTTAGCAACAGAAGAGTGATACCTTTCACTATGAGCTGGTGGACTTCGAGACTCACCCACTGCCTCTTCATAACTTGGAGGTGCACCAGTGTTCTGTTCTGAAAATTTATGATCACGCCGCCTGCCAAAAGAGATTCAACTCATAATGTGATTCATAGAACTCAGTTAAACCACTATTCCATGAAATTATTAAGAATTACCTCACATCTGGAGACCTGTTATCATCTCTTCCACTACCATCACTTCAAGAAAAAGAAATAAGTGGCTCAGTACAAGCCCATGCCAAAATTATACACCAGCTTGATCTGGGAACGAATTGGTTCTAAAAATATTAAAATTTGGCTTTGCACGGTAGCTCTTAGCAGCATTAATGCCCAAGATAATGTTGAAAAGAGGCACACCTATATTCACCTCTCTCCCAAGTTTGTGTTTGTGTAATAGTAAGGAAGAATTCCTCTCCCACCTTTTCACTGATGGTAAATTTGTATCAAATGTCTGGAATTTGTCAGGGGTTTGGTTTGGTTTATTTTGGTTCTGCCCTAATCTCTCAGAAAATTGATAAACTGAGATCTTGTTTTGGTGGTATCAATCAAGCACAAAGCTAAAGAGTTCCGTTGAATCCCCTTTTCCTGTCTATTTGACGGAAATAAATGCAAGAAGATTCTGACAGGTCAAACTTTGTTGATTATCTTTGTGACATTTTGGTCCAATCTATCTAATTGGCGTCCTCGTCCTTTTTTTTCTCTTTTCCGTAATTACTCTCTTTTTCCTTATCAACCACGATTGGAGGGCCTTGTTTCATCCCTTATTTTTTGAAGGAACTCTTGTCCCTTTGCCGTTTAGGTTGTCTTATTTGGCTGTTGGCCTTATATATTGGTATCTTCTCCATGTTTCCTATCTCAAAAAAAAAAAAGAAAAAAAGAAAAAAAAGGTGTTCCTTTACATAATAGTGAAAGAATAATTCAGTAACAGGGAATACATACCGAACACTGTCATGATGGTCTTTATCTTGATCCCTTCTTGCACCATACTGGTGATCATCAACACTTCTTCGTCCCCCATTATCATCATCCCTGGGACTATCTCTTCCTTGACGTTCTTCACCATCCCTGAAATAGTGATCTCTATCACGTCTATTTGAATTAGAATTCCCACCACGGTCATCATCCCTATAGTCATATTCTCTTTCCCTTCCAAAACCATTGCCATTCCTATCTTCATCCCTGCTTCCATAGCTTCCCTCATTAAAATCATCATCGTAACGGTCTGCATACCCCCCAGCATTAGAATTTGAAATTGGTCTATGTGCTCCACCAGAAAATGATGGATTTCGAAACCTTCATACAAATGCCAAAATCATTCAGCGACGCCATTCTAAATTAATTATAAGGAACTATCTTAATGATGAAAGTATTTTAGCAAATACTAAAAAAAAAAACCTAGAAAAAGGGGGAGGATGAAGAAGATGAAAGAAGAAAGAAGAAAGAAGAAAGAAGAAAGAAGAAGAATAAATGAAGGATTTCATTCATGCCAGAAGTTATATTTAATCTCCAGGTACACCAGGTTAAAACGCAGGCTCCTGCTTTTCATGCAATGTTTTACAGAGAGAAATTTGTTTGAGAAATTAACAGAAAACACAGTAGCACTGTGCAGGAGTAATAACTTTGAAGATGCAGATTCTAAAGTAGGGGAAACAATATTAAAACAAAGTAGATGACCCAGAAAGGAGTAGAAAAAATTGAACAGATGACAAGCAAATTATTATACAAGATTAATCCCCAAACTTTAGGTAAAGAACCTGCATGCAGTAAAATAACAGACACTTATGCCATGTACGAAATTCTCAGAAAGAAAATTGGAGAAATTTAAAGAAAAAAAATTGGAGAAATTTATCTTTTAAAATTTTAATAGAGAAAGAAGCAGAAAATTTATTTTAACCTTTTATCTTTTCTCTGCTTCTTTCTCTATTAAATTTCTCCTATGCACGCACACACACACACACACACATATTTGTTTTATGGATTACACTCACTTGTCCCAGTTAGAATTAGACTTCTGCCTAATCTCACTGATTCTTTCTGGGTCATTCACAAGAACCACAAGACTCTGTGACTTCTTTCGGACATTTGCTCCCTGATCCCTTCCACTAGAATCAATATATTGAAAGCTGAACAAGACCTGTGGTGGGAAAAAGATAATATATAGAAACACAGAATGAAATTCACGGAAAATGGAGAAAACTAATTAAACATGTAGTTACAAAGAACTAAGAAGCTGTATTACTGATAATTGGTATGAATGATCCTTGATATCGTCGATTACTCGCTCTGATCCATGAGCCACCAGATACTCCAAGACAGTTAAACCCTGAAGAACAATATGTATTCTTCTTTAAAACAAGAAAAAAATAAAAAAAATTGTACCCTCAAAAAAGCAAGAAAAGGAAAAAGAAAATAAAGATTTCTTTTTCCTTGAATAATCTAATCAAACTTCAAGGACATAAAAAAAAAAAAAAAACATAAAACATTTTGACGAAGGCTGACATTTTTTTTTTGCCTGCAAAGATAATTAACTTTTGAGGAAAATAAGAGTTAACTGCACGTATGTGATCCAATGTCAAATGGAAAAGAAATCAAACCTTGTATACATGCCGCCAATTTTTTCCAGAGTCATTAACACGCTTCCAGATTACTGCCATAATCATCTGATACTCATGGCTGCATTAAGGTTTAGAAATGAGACTCTCTACTGGTTCCAGGTAGGTAGTAATAAACATTCATGAAAACCAGGTTATGTTTTCAATCAAGAAGAAAGAAACACGTAATGCTTACTAGTTTTTGCTTGCTTGTGCAATCTCTGCAAGAAGTAATCCATGAGGGCCCCAAGGCTCATTGCTAGTAGCATCAAGAACCTGCTAGGCCGAGACAGCAATGACCTTAATGTCAGAGTTAGAACTCTTAAATACCATGAATCACATTTCAAACAATTTTCAGCGTAAGGAGCAACTATAAGAGAAGATCTCAAGAAAATCATGAAGGAGAAAAAAAAAAAAACCTTCTGCTCTAGTCGAGGAACTTTAAGCACAGCCTTATTAACTTCTCTTTTACTGCAAGAAAATGAAATACAAATGCCATTAAAGTAAATAATATGCAGAAACGGAAGCAAGTTCACAAAGATAGGGAAAATGTCAACCTCAAAACACGGACCCTGAAATTAATGTTTAACAAAGGAACAGAAAAGCTTGTTAAGATATCATTTTAGGCTTAGGCACAGAGCATTGAATCAAAAATTTGCAGAGCTACTTTCATATACTTCTTGATTCTTGAAAAACTAAAACAGTTTAATTTAAAATATCTAGTTCAGAGCTACTTTCATATACTTCCCGATCATATCTTTGTTCACAAGTATTATGCCTAGGAGTTGCATAGAGTTTCTCCATGAAGCTTGAGGTGGTTCTAGACTAGGGAGAGAGGCTTCGGTCCTTGGCTGGATGATTGTACGGCCCTTCCCTGGTGACTTTAGTGAGAGGATCATTTAAGTACTATTTAAACTAGTGTTCTGGTTTTCTAAGAACCTATCAGATAGAACTTTATTTTATTTGCCTTTTTTCAAAACCAGTTCTATATCTTTTGTTGGAAATTTAAGATTCAACTATTTCCAACGGCTTCATTTTACAACTCTTTCCACATATTGCATTTTTTGTTCCTTCTATAGCAGATTGATTAAATATATGTTTAAAAATTAATATAGAAAACTTGAACTTAGAAAAACCCAACTAGAATGGATTATAATGTAAATTCTACTAACTACAGATACACCTTTAAATTCTGACCTAAGTACACACTATTCTTTTATATGTTAAGTTCGATTAATGTTGTGTTGGAAAAGGTTTATATAGACGATTGTAGAATTTATTTTCTAATTTAAACTCCTATTTTTTTTTTTTAAAAAAATTGATCTATTTTAAACTTGACTTTCACTATCTAGATCTTTAAAAATCATTTAGGATGTTCCACCAAAATGTTGATTGAAATTTCAGAAACATTTGAAATAGAATTTATATCCCTCAATTATAAACCAAAAACCAAACACGCTCTACATTATCCAGTACTAGGAATTTTCTTTTCATTTCTCTTTTGGGTGCAATAACATGACCTGCAGTGATGAAATCATTTTTCAGCATTAAAATGTGAATATTACTCACATATCCCTAACAGTCTGACCAAAGACCTTCTTCATTGTTGATGCCTTGATGGTACCGAAATTAACAGCTCCTTCCAACCAGTTCCACAGAAAAATTAAGTGAAGCTCACCTCAAAATTTCTGGGCTGTTTCAGAGAAAAACAAGTAATAGTCTTTAAAAGCTTGGAATATATATCGGAAATCAAGCAAATGAATCATGAAAACTCTAGAATTTGCATAGCTGTAATGAATACATTAATGGAGCACCATATCATTTTAAACTCAAGTCAAAACAGTATAAAGGAATATAATTTCTAGGGCATGTAATAAATTTGAAAGAGATAAACATAGGTCAAAATTTGATCTCTAAACCTAACAAAAGGAAAAAGGGCAGTTCTTCAATACGAACAATAATAATGATAATAATAAAACTAACATGTCAACTCCATCACTGACAAAATAAATGATAATCTAAGTAGAGACACCTAGAATTATGGACACCCTACTACTTCTAAGAACGCCGGAACTTGCACAATGGACTAAAAAGTAGAAACTTCGATGAAATTGCAACTTCATAGAAATCTCCAAACTACAGATAACTCCAATTTCAAATTATGGTTATCTGACATCGGACACAGCATGGAAGGAATCTTCATTTTCATCTACATTACAAGCTTACGTCAGGAATTTCAAATGAATCCAAAGTAGACCTTTCCGCAAGATTCCCCATTGGCGTATATATATATATATATATTATAAAGTATACAACAAAATGTACGTTACAAACTCTAGATAGATATGCAGCATTCACGCATCAGCTGCCAAAAGGACGAAAAATATCGAACCAAAAATCAAGACGAGCATCTCGCATTATGAAAAGTATAAAACAAATTCATATCGGTGGAAGAGAATCGAAGATTTCCAACCAAAATTCACACAAATTAACAAAAATGAAGCATGGAGATTATGAATTTCAATGCAACTTTGATCTGATCATCAATTCCAAAATAATAATAATAATAATAATAAAGAACGAACAACAGGCAGCCGAATTGAATTGAAAAAATAATTTCCAACAGGAATAGTGGATGAATAATGTGAATCAAGAAGAATGCAACGGATTATGAGAATGGAAAAAGACAAATAAATGGGAAGATCTGAAAGGAAAGCAGGAAAATGAAAGAAGATGGTAGAGGAAGGCGGATGGAGGGAAATGCTTACGCCGGAGATCAGAATGAAGAGGCGGATCTGAAGGCAGTTGGAGAGGAAGGTGGAAGGTGGAAGAGGGAGAGAATTTTGAAAATGGTTGGGAATTAGAAAGGCTCCGTTGAAGAAATAGCTACGAAACAGAAAGGACGTACGAGGAGACACCGCAACTTACACGCAGTAAATTAAGGGATTTATTTATTTTATTTTATTTTTTTAATTTTTTACATTAATTTTAATGTTAGAATTTTGAATCATCCGATTCAATTATAATAATAATAATATCACTTACATAATGATAATAATCATAATAATAATAATAATAATAATAATAATAATAATAATAGTAATAATAATAATAATAAGGTCAATAGCAACTCGACTTGAAGATCGCTCATGGGTAGAGCCTTTTTTTACTTTGTCATTCATGAATATATTACAAGTAAAATTGAAAATTAAGAGTTTTAGTAGACACATTAATTTTCCAAACTTTCTTAAACGAGTCAGATTCAGAGCGAGCATTTTATTTTGTGGTTGGTATCGGAGCGACTTTATATTTTTCAACAAATTGGTATTAGAGCGATTTCAATTTCAACAAATTGGTATTAAAGCCGATGGCGAACATGATGGGACAAATGTCGCTACCACGATTGACGAAGACGAACTACAAGAATTGGAGCATCCAAATGAAAGCTCTTCTCAGTTCGCAAGACGCATGGGAGGTGGTCGAAGACGGTTTCGAAGAATCGATTGATACCACGGGTTATACAGTGGTGCAAAACAAGGCGTTGAAGGAATTACGGTCAAAGGATAAGGTAGCATTATACATGTTGTTTCGTGCTGTTGACAAGTCAGGCTTTGAGAAGATTGCAAGAGCAACTACTTCAAAAGAAGCGTGGGACACTCTAGAAAAAGTGTTCAAAGGAACCGACCGAGTCAAGTAGGTGTGTCCCCAAACTCTGCGTGGCGAGTTGGAGAACATGAAGATGAAGGAGTCAGAAAATGTATCTGACTACATTACACGTGTACATATCGTGGCGAATCAGCTAAATCGGAACGGAGAAATGTTACCCGAGACGCTGGTTGTGGAGAAAATCTTGAGGTCGTTAATAGACAACTTTGAGAATGTCATATGTGCCATAGAAGAGTCGAAGGACCTAGCGAAGTTCACAGTCGATGAGCTTGCCGGTTCTCTCGAGGCACACGAGCAACGTAAGAAAAAGGAGGAACCACTCGATCAAGCGCTTTAGACGAAGGCATCGATAAAGGATGGAAAAATGCTCTACTCACAAAATTTTTTAGGTAAAAATAGTGTAAGTTGCAGGAATGGTCGAGGTGGTCAAGGTAATAATCACAAAGAAAACTATAAGGATAAGAGACTGTCGAGCCAAGCAAATTGACGTGGAAGAGAATGCAGTTGAGGAAGAGGTGGCCGATCAAACATTCAGTGCTATAAATGTCAAAAGTATGGTCATTACGCGAATGATTGTAACTCTGAAAAAGGTGGAAGTTGTTGGAAATGAGGTGATACGCAGTGGATTTGGCAAAATCGCGGTATCAGAGACGAGAAAATCGAAGGAGGATGAACAACCAAAGAATAGAGAGCCCAAGCTCAAAGACAAAGATCCCAAATGGCCGGAAAAGCAATTCGAGGTAGAAAGAAGAAAGAGGATGAAAATTGAAGAAGAAAAGAAAGAGCTTGAAACAAAAGTTCAACGGTGAGAGAAGGAAGTGACTGAGCTGAGTAAGAGTTTCTTCTGTCTAAAACAGGAGAAGGAAAAAAATGAGAAGACAATCTCCAATCTTATGAAGAAAGTTGAAGAAGGTGCGGAGAAAGAGAAAGTCCTACTCATGGAGATTAAACGCTTAGTAGACAAGCCAGTAAGGGAGAAGAAAGATATAGAGATACTGACCCTAGAGAAAATCACTCGACGTGAACCTGAATCAAGTCCAACAGGAGATAGTGAATTTACGACACACAATTGAGACACTCACTCATGATAAAACCAAGATGGAGGAAACAAGAATGCTGGTCGTAAAGGTCGCTGTGGACTTACGAAGGGAACTGAGTAAATGGAACGAAGCCATGATGTCGGAGTCAAGCGTAGCTGAGAACTGAAAAAATGAAGAGGTGGTGTCACAAATGGGATGTTCTCGAGAAGATCCAAATGAAGTCTCACCAGAGGAGGACAACCCTATTTTGCTGTTTGAAGAAAAGAAGATAAAGTTGAAGAGACCACGACTGAGCTCGAAAAAACGAAAACGACGCAAGAGAAATCATTGAGTAGGAGCATTTAAGTTTATGAGAGAGTTTTGTTGAGAAATAAACTTAAATGCAGGAGTGAGAGGAAGAAATTTTTTTGTTTGTTATTTAGTCAAAAGTGTTAAATAAAAGACATGTTCTTTATTTAGTTAGGTTTCTCAAAACATCTGAATTCACGCAATGGAAGAGCGTAATTCTAGGTGCCATTCTTTCGCCTTTGGGCGAAGTCTTCGTCCACTTTTCTATTTTTATATAATTAGTTTTTCTATTATTGTAATTAGATTTGTTATTTAAACCATTCAACTGGAGGAAAATAAAGATATCGAGTCTTCAAAATCTCAGCAGATCTCTCTCCCTCTCTCTCCTTTTACTTCCGCTAATTTTTCTTTCGAAAGAAACATTCGGCCAATTTTTTCGTCGACATTGTCCTCCGAATTTACAGAGTCAACAAGTGGTATCAGAGCCAGGTTGAAGTCATCGGTGTATATCATTGCGGAGGAGCCAACCTATCAACAAACAAGTTGAATAGCTCAAGTGGTTAGAGCATCGACCTAACAACACACAGGTCTCAGGTTTAGTAGAAGAAAATGCAAAGTGTGAAACCACACACATCGTGGGGCCCATCTCGGGCAGGCTCACTCACTCCTCCACGCCGTCGCCGTGTGCCGACATCTCCATCACCACCACGAAGAGGCCGACGTCGTGATGACGAGCGTCGAGTTATCGTTGAGCAAATGACTGCCGTTGTTCAGTATCCAATATTGACAAAGTCCAACTATAACGAATGGATCTTGTTGATGAGCCTCAACCTACAGGCGCAAGGGTTATGGCATGCTGTCGAGCCAGAGGAAGGAGAAACGATTGAGTATCGGGGAGGATCGGCTAGCGTTCGTCGCCATAAGACGGTGAGAAGCCATGAATGTCCCACGGGCGGGAAAGATGGGAATCAAAAGAAGAAGTCGACCAATGGCAGGCCGATCTGCTCGAATTGTGGGAAGAGAGGACACCTGAGCAGGAATTGTTGGATCAAGCTTAGAAACAAGGAGAAGGCCAAAAAGGCCCATGTGGCTCAATCCGAGGAGGACGAGCCAGCTCTCTTCATGGTAAGTGCATGCGTCCCCATTTTTTATTCCAAATCCACGGAGAGTGCATGCGTCTCCATTTTTTATTCCAAATCCACGGAGATGAAGGTAATAGACGACGATGTTGAACCCGAGAAAGAGCTCCAACTGGGCGTAGCAAAGGTGGCACCAACTAGGGAGCCAATTCAACTAGAGGAGGCACAAGCACCGGCGATGGATCCTCGACACAAGGGCAACAAACCATATGACCGGGGCTGGCTCAATCCGTGGAGGACGAGCCAGCTCTCTTAATGGTAAGTGCATGCGTCCCCATTTTTTATTCCAAATCCACGGAGATGGAGGTAATCGACGACGATGTTGAACCCGAGAAAGAGCTCCAGATGGGCGTAGCAAAGGTGGCACCAGCTAGGGAGCCAATTCAACTAGAGGAGGAGCGAGTGTTCGCTTAGATCGGCGAGCGAGGCGAGCAACACAAGCACCGGCGATGGATCCTCGACATAGGGGCAACAAACCATATGCCTGGGGCTAGATCTGCATTCTCCGAGCTCGACTCGGGGATCCGCGGGACGGTGAAATTCGGCGACGGCTCCGTCGTCGAGATCGAAGGGCGCGACACCATCCTGTTCGCCAGCAAGGGAGGCGAGCATCGCAAGCTGACGAACGTCTACTTCATCCCGAGGCTCAAGACTAACATTGTGAGCCTGGGTCAACTCGATGAGACAGGCTGCTTCATTTCCATCGAGCGCGGACTACTCAAAATCTTTGATAATCAACGATGGCTGCTCACGCAGACAAGGCGCACGACAAACCGTCTTTACATCCTGGAGTTAAAGATAGAGCATCCCGTCAGTCTCTCAGCCAAGACCGAAGAGGTATCTTGGAGGTGGCATGCAAGGTACGGGCACTTAACCTTTCCTGCTCTAGAAAAGCTACAGAAGGAGGAGTTGGTGCACGGTTTGCCAGCAATCAAAGGCTTGAACAAGCTGTGCGACGGGTGCCTCATCGGCAAACAGAGGCGCACACCTTTCTGTCTCGAACATCCTATCGAGTCGATGAGTCGTTGGAGCTTGACACGGCGATATCTACGGGCCCATCAAGCCGGCGACCCCAGGCGGTAAGAGTCTCTTCCTCCTGTTAGTCGATGACAAAAGCCGCTTCATGTGGCTGACCCGCAAGCGAGAAGTGAGGCGGCATAGGCAGTTAAGTGCATTAAAGCGCGAGTGGAGGCCGAATGTGAGAAAAGATGCGAGTGCTGCGCACAGACCGAGGCAAAAAATTCACCTCGGCAAGTTTCGGTAAGTACTATGACGAGATCAGCATACAACGGCACCTAACGGCGCCCTACTCCCCCAACAGAACGGAGTGGTGGAGCGCCAAAATCAGACCATCGTCGGGACAGTGAGGTCATTGTTGGTGACGGCCGGGATGCATGGGAGATTCTGGGGAGAGGCAGTAATGACGGCCGTCTATCTCCTCAATCGGTCACCAACCCGAAGCCTCGACGGGAAGACGCCATATGAGGCCTGGTACAACAAAAAACTAGCGGTACATCATTTTCGCGTGTTCGGCTACATCGCATACATGAAGGTAACACGTCCCCACCTCGCCAAGCTTGATCCCAGGGGGCTGAAGGTCGTCTTCATCGGCTATGAACCTGGGAGCAAGGCGTACAGACTATATGATCCTATAGGGGGCGAGCTCACGTGTCTCGCGACGTCGTCTTCGACGAAAGCACCTTTTGGCAGTGGAATGACGTGATCGAGACTGACCATAATCCAAA